TACATTTTTAAAATACCAAATAATCATTTTTAAAATGTTTCTATGCATGAAATCCATTTTTTTTATAATTGGTAGCTATTTTATAAATTATTTTGATTAATTTTGATTGAGTATTTAACAAATAGCCCCATTTTATTTCAATTATAACCTATTAAAACTAGCGCAAATCACCTAATTACACAAGCCCAAAGACCCAGGCCCAAAACTAAATCCTACCCGACCCAATTCCGCCCAAATCGTGGCCGTTGATCATTTTTGATCAACGGTCCAGGTTAATTCCTTCCTTAATTAACCTAATGACCTAACCCCAAACCCCTCATTCCCTCTCACCCTCTCCACCGCCACTCCTCTCCTTCTCTCTCAAACTTCCTCTGCCCTAACCCTAATCCCCTTCGTCGTTGCTTGCTCGCCATTAACAATGATGGCTCACCACCACTCCCAGCCTTAATGGCTCTCCTATGACCGGGATTCATGCTATCTTTGAGGTCCTCAAGGGACCAGTGGCTGATCCGCTCACTCCTGGGCCTGTTCTCAACGTCCTCAGGCCACCATGGCTCAATTGAGTAAGATCGTCCTATTTTTTTTGTTAGACCTATGGTTTCTAAGCCGGTCTCTCATTATGTCTTGGGCATTTTTCTCGCAACCCTAATTCCCTCTCTTAACTCTTTAGATCTATAACAAATCTGAGAATATTTGAACCATTTTTTGCTTGTTTTATGAAAACCTTTTGATTTTCAAAGCGTCGCTTCATTTTCCTTCATAACTAGGGTTTCTGAAACTTTCTTTAAGAACGATTTTGATTTCTAAGTGTTGTTCTCTGATCCCTGAGTGTTTAATCGGGTTTTGTTAAGCTTTTCCTTTAAACCTAACTAGTTATGTTGAAAACCCCTAATTTTTGGCTTTATTCTTGGATTCTGAGTTCGTCTTTACTGTTTGTTCATTCGATTTGTCTGTATGTTTGATTCTCATGAATATGCTTCGATTAATTAGAGTATTTTATGATTTTCACCCTAGTAATATCTTATTAAGATTTCTGATTTGGTTCTTCCTATATATACTCCATTTATTGGTTTATTCATGGAAGTCTATACTATTTCCCCTAATCTTAGTACTATTTTTCGATTCTTGAATCCTTGATTTACTATGTTGATACTCTTATACCGACTTCCGGCTATTTTTTCTATTTTCATAACCCTTAAATTATTTTTTACCTTATTTTGTGGTTGATTGTATTATTAATTGATTCCTACTATTATTAACTTAATTAGACCACTATGTAGCTATCTCTAATTACATATTCTGTACCTCTGTGGTTTGAATTCTTTCCTTATTTGTTACCTGCTTTCTACCGTTGGTAAATTACTCCCTTAATTTAGGGAGACTTGGCTGATTTTCGTTCTTAATTGATTCTGTAGTTCTATAATTGCAGAACAATTGATTCTTGCCTTATTTACCTAGATTTCAAACTATTATATATACTCTCTTCTGTTTTCATTACACACGACACATTGGTTCAAAAGCTCTCTCTTTCACACTCAAAACTTTCTGCGTTACTTACTAACTGTTTTAAGTTAGCTGGCTGCAAGCCAAGGCTGACTATTATGCTCTCCTGCTCCTTCACTTTTGTGTTTACTGTCCTCTTTACTGGTATGTCTTGATTTCAATTAAAAATTTAAAATAACATGTTTCTTTTATTACTTCAATTCCTCCTGTTTCTAGTTTGTTTTTACTTATGATTTTGTTGTTCAACTTGCAACTAATATATTTACTTCATCATCAGCATGCTTTTGAATGTGTCCCCTCCCTTAGATTCAGCATGTTTACGAAATGTTATCCCCCTTCTAGTATACCCCAATGTGACTTTTCCTTACTTATGTTTCTCTGATTTCTGGCATGAACCTTTCTGTGCAAAGTAGTTGGCTATCCTTAATTGACCTGATCCTGTATTAATTCAGAAGTTCCTTAACCCTTTAGCATATTGCTGATTCTGTACTTAAGTGCTCATGTAACTATGTGTTTACCTATGTGACCTATGTGTCCCCAAATCCCATTACCCCTATTTGTGGTTGCTGAACCTGCCTTGGTTCTATGTTCCTTGGTTATGTATGAACCTGCTTTGGGTACTGTGTTTGGACTATTGCTTATTACTCTACTCTCTTTTCAAAACTGTCTCTGTTGTTTTTTACAAAACTATTTCAAACAAGTCTCTTTTCAAGCTGTTTTCCCGTTTAAATCTTTTCAAGCACTTGCACATCTACTCTTAGGTTTTAAGTTCTGCCCCTCTAATGTGTGACTGCTTAGGGATCCCTATGAGATCCATCTGAACTCTGATACATTAGAGCTGGCCCTTCCACAATGCACTTACTCATCTATGATTGTGAATCTGGGTGTGAGCACTGCCCGGGATCCCTTGAGATCCTTAGGGAACTCTGACACATCCGGATTATATGAAAGGCTGTGAGGCAATCTGGCATTGGAAACTCTGGAAATCTGGGCCTACTTTCAGGCTCCATATAGAGTAACTTCTTATTTTTTATCTAATCATGTAATTCATGTAATATTGGTCTGTAATAATTTGTTGTAAACAAATACTAGGGATGGATAGTGAAAATAAAAGGGTAGCTACGCATGTTATAGACAAGGGGTAGAAACCATGCTTTAGGTTTACATTTTCTATATGCGCAATAGAATCCATGTTTAGAACCAACATATGCAAAACATATCATGTATTAGAGACCATGCTCTTAGATTTCATGTATACTGTTTCAGCATCTCATTTTGACATTCTTGCTATCACTTAGAAATCCTGTTCTAGGATAAAGGGCATTAAAACAAAAACTGCTACTCCTGCACACTTGACAGTATGCTCTACAATGCTGTAACCTTTATGCATTTAGAAATCCTGCTTTTTAGGAAATTCTACAATCATGCTGTGCATTTAGAAGTCCTGCTTTAGGAATCTTGCATATAAATCATTCTATACCTTATTTGTGCATATTAGATACCATGTTTAGGTTCTCGTTCATACTCACTCAGCTACGCCTAGTTAAATTACTGATGCATGAAAAGGAATATAAACAGTCTCATCCTGCTTTAAATAAACTGATAATAATCCCTGTATTTTGTAACACCCAGAACAACATGCTCTTAGGCAGAAACGACTTCTGAATAACAACTGTGCACTATTCCACGCCTAGGCAAGCCTTAGGCAATCAACTCTTATAAAATTGGAAACTGCCTGTTTGTGTGTACTGCTTAATGATTAACAGGCTTAAAATCAATAAGCAAACTGATTAGGGCCCCTGCTTCTGAGTTATAAAATAAAAATTGCATATCTCATGTGTTCTGATATTCGCCTAGACATCATGTCTTAGGATAGTGTTTAACAATATTGCCCTTATTTGTGTTTGAGTCATGTTGTTTACATGCATATATGTGGAGGTGAACCTGAGCCTCTTATCTGCTATTTCATGCTTTTATTTGTTGAAGTCCTATGTGTTCTTGCTTGTCGCCTTAGTATTTTCTTCTTTAAACCTTAGGGGTCTGTCTAGAATTGCCTATAGGTAGAGGTCCTAATTTCCTCTAGGACCATTAAGAAGGGACGAGTAACAACACGCATAGAGATCGTTAAGCAACACTCGCTTAAATAACCGCTAAGGAGGTGGGAATCGGTAGAATGAGATATGATGACTACGCGCTAATGTCACGTGTAGTCCCTCATTGAGGAGTGTTTACCGGGCATTGCGTGAAGTGATCCTGTAGGCTAACCAACCTAGGATCCTTCTTTCCCGAATCCCTTTTGATTAAAACTTTATTTTATATGTACATAACTTGTTCAAATCCTTTGTCTTATTATCTGAGTCATACAATGTCCAACATGTTTTATTCGCAATTATTTGTTTCAACTACTTATTTGGACTAATGCACAAGTATAAGTTCGGCCGGGACCCACCGTTGTGGACCGAGAGGGGTGCCTAACACCTTCCCCTCAAGGTTATTTCGAGCTCTTACCCTAAATCTCTGGTAATGCAAACTAGTCCATGAGTTAATCTCTCTAGGTGCCCTAACGCACCATAATCCGTTAGGTGATGACTTTTCAAAATAACCAATTCCCAAAAAGAAATGAGTTATTACCCCCTGTAATGTCGAAACCCGAACTTCTCTTCGCGGAGGAAAAAAAGGGGGGCGCGACAAGTAATATCTTTCTATATATAATATAAATTTACAAATTCAAGTTGCAAATCAAAATTTTGCAACTAATTAATTTATTCAGGGATGAGTATTTGGTAAGCATGGTCTGTACTCTGTTGTGACCTTAGTTGGGAGTATATATGGTGAGTAAAAGCGACTGAAACACAATAAATTAATTCTTTGTTGACTACGTGATGATACAAGTTGATATCTGACACCTTATAGATTAGGTTATAGGAATGGGTGTATAAACCTATATCTTATCTTATTAGTATATTACTATATTGTTATGCAGTAGTGAGTTTTTGATGCGTACCCGTAATGGAATGAAAAGAAGATGTTGGGGGACATACAATGGTAATGATGCAAGGGATGGCAAGTGTTTATACCCTATTTAGTCCTTCAGCAAGTTAAATAAATCAACACCATTAAAATTTCTTAGTACACGTGGCAACCATCTAAAGCCCTATTGAGAAAAAACTAGACAAAAGTTTAATGGAGAGGATCTCAACCCGAATGAGCCTGCCTCAGCTCCAAATTGCCCTGCTATGTGACAACATAAATATAGCACGCACAAAAATAGACCTCTCGTCAAAAGATACGAAAAATAATTCTTAGAGTCCTTTCTAGCTAAAATTATCCTTCTAGGCAAACAAGTACAAAATAAGTTTTAGAATAAACTCAAATTTATCCAACAATGGCACCAAGAGAATTCTAAAATTTATTAGATCCAGCCACGAATTAGAAAGTCATCAAAATCCAAAATCTGTGGCCTAAACGTACAACATTATGTCATGAAGATATGGCACTAGCTAATATAAAAGCAATTAAAGTTTACGTATGCAAAGATGTATATATCTGCATATAGCTACAAAATCTTATGATAATGACACTGAAGTCAGACTATTATACAAACATATGAGTAGAAAGTGTGTACAATTTCCACCCTGTACGCATCACCAAGAACAACAAAAGCAAAAGAAAAAAGAAGGGAGAAGTACAAAGGAAATGAAAGATGGAAAATGTATGATATAAATAGCCACAGAAGTGCTAGGAACTCTATGATTTTGCTTCTGATGACGATGATGGAATCCGCAGGAAACGCCAGGGTCCTGTTCCTGTCCCCATCCTGTAAAAGTAGACCAAATAGAAGCAAAAAAATGTTAATGAAAAGTGCACATTATGAATGATTTCATATAGACGATCCCAACTTGCTTGGAATTGAGGCCTCGTCGTAGTACTAGTTGTTGTGGTTATGTCGTAACTTAATCAAGAAAAAATTCTCATGCAGCAGAGAGACGATAAGTTACCTCCATAAACCGGCAATGGTACGCAGGGCCATGAATATGGTTAAAGCAATCCATATTCCAATGTAACCATTGCTTTTGGAAAGGACAAACTCACATGTTACTGTTAGTGCACCAACCAAAACCTGCAAAAAAGAAGATACATTACTGGTTTGCTGAATAAATTCAAAGTTATTCAACTCTTTTTGCTCCAATATTGTAATAGATATTACTAGTAGTAGTATAAGCTAACCATGGAATATGCTGAGTATGCAAAATCATTTGCTCCAAAGTTGACACCATCTAAAACAAACGCCAATGAGTTGATTGGTTGTGTACCAGCGACAAACTGGCGAAGGAGCACAAGGTAAAAAGAACAGTTAAAGATAGTGAAACAAAAGAAGAACAAATTGAAACAAACATATAGTACTACTATTTATTGAATGTATACCGGGATGGCAATGGTTATGAGACGGATAACATTTTTGTCCTTTGAAAAGACTCCTGAACCAAAATATAGACCAATACCAACAACCAAAGCAAGTCCCAATCCCAACACAAATCCCATCTGCATAATGAAAACTCTATCAGTATTGGCTGGAACTCAGTTTGAAAGTTGATTTAAGATTACTAGTATTAAATATTACCTGTAGGACTCGAACTCCTGCAGCCTTTGCCTTCTGGTAGTCTTTCTCAGCAAAAGAACTAGCAAGGATTGCCTAGAAAAGAAGATATCGTAGTAATCAGAGAGCAACTTTTATTGTTTATTGGTGTTACCATATCTTGTAAATATACTTCTTTCATTTCTATTGTTGGAAAAATTTGGGTGGTGTCTTACCTGTCCTGCTACAGCCAATCCATCAGCAAGTAGGGATGATGTTAACCAAATCTGTAAGCACACTTGAAATGCAGCCATCTGTGTTGCGCCTAGACGTGCAGCCAATGATGCAGCCAAAGTCACACAAAATGTTACAGCTATCACCCTTGCTAGTAACCAAAATCCTGCAATTGCAAACAAAATTAAAGCAAAGTTCAGCAGCTTAAAGTATGCGATGCTCTAAAGGCTTGTGTGAGTCGTTATTGATTTGATACTAATAATGGTGGTCGTTTCAGTATATTAAGAATACATATGCATCTACGATTGAGAATTAATTGATAGTACTATATGCCATGTCTCGTATAGAGTATTTGTAAGCAAACAAATGAGCACATGCCTTGTCTTACATGATCACCTTCATCTGATTTAAATTGATGGAGTACTAAATATCAAATTTTTGTGCAACTGTACCTAATCTAAACTGTAGCTTTTTATGATTTTTTTACTAGTATACAATCATTTACTTACCATTCTTGAGAAATTTGCTGAACTGCAGATCTTTTGCACTTGGAGGTAATAACTCCACTTCTGTCATCAATTTGCATAGGAGAATAATTGATATCAAGTACCTAAATGAACCATAACACAGTACTGTGATGTTAGAAGCTGTGTGAATGACAATGTCTGTTAATTAGTTTCTGATAAAAGGACTTACTGAGAAAGAACATGAGCGATGGCAGCACCACTAACACCCCAACGGAAAACAAAAATAAAGATCGGGTCCAAAACTATATTTGTCAAATCTCCAGCAACTGATAGACCACAAAAAAAAAAAAAAAAAAAAAAAAAAAAAAAAAAAAAAAAAAAAATAACGATAAGAGTTAGATCGATCATCTTATCTTTCCTTTGGTGTAGTTCAAGTAGCTATCGGTTCAATGACAGAATAAATATTGTAGTAATACATAAAAAGAGGCAACGAAATAACTGCAACTAATTACCAGTAGCATATAAAGGAGTTCTTGTATCCTTGAAACCACGGAAAACGCCTTGCATAGCCAAAGAAAGGAGGACTGCAGGAGCACCAAGTGCTCTCAGTGTTAAATACTTCTTTGCTGGGGATAGCATAGCAGATCCCTATATATAATTGGTGAGGTAAGAACTTGTTACTCTTTCTAGATATATGACACTGGATTTGATCAAGGAGCTAGAAACCAATGAGCACAATGTTGAGACATAATATAATTAAGTAATTAAATTGTGTTCTCTCTGACAGCTAAAGCGTTTATATGAGATGGTGTCACAATTCTTTTCTTGCTGATATGGATCACAGCTTCTATGCTCTAATGTAAAGTGATGATGATTGATTGTTAATACTTACAGATTTCACACCCATTAAGCTTAGAATTGGTTTTGCGAGAAATATAAGGAAGATTGTTTGCAAAAGGCCAAGAATGCAGCCCATAAGAATTGCAGTTGAAGCAGATGGAATATGTCGCTTCACACGTTTGACTTTGCCTTTACTTTGATTATCAGGAGACTTGCATGCTGTTGTCTTGAATTCTGTAAAGGTAAACAATCATTTCAGGCCGGTAAACTAAAATCTCTGGGCTTATGTATATCTGACATGGCATTTTCATTAGTTATCTTTTAAGTGATCTGATAGTGTAAAAGTTAAACACATAAGGTATACCTTCTGCTGGTGCTGGTGCTGGTGCGGAATCTTTGGTTTCAACTTTTGTGGATGCACATTTTTCCAGCTTCTCATGGTCAGTATCATCAGTTAATGGCAGTTTTGTATCATTCTTCTCTTCTGAACCTTTCTCTAAGTCTGCGATTGCTGCTTTTTCGTTAATTCTTCTAACAGTGTCTTCCTCAGCAACGAAAGAAGTTGTTATGTTAACTAAAGGGAATATTGTGACTTTAGAGGCTTGATTGAATATGGCTATTGATACTCCTACTGCTGCGATTTCCACCGAACCTGAGATGAAAAGCCAATATTTATTTGGAGCAATGTTTTTTTTTTTTTTTTTTTTTTTTTTTTTTTTTTTGTTAATGAGATACCAGCATTCAAAGAGTTGTGTTATAAAAGAAAATTTTGTTATAAGGAAGCAAAAAGATAAAACAGAAAAAAGCAAACCACCTTTGATGCTAAGTGGAAAACTGATCAATAACAAAATAGCATTGTAGATATATTATGCATTTTGTATTTGATGTAAAAGACATAATTTTTCTGCAATGATGGACAAAATAGAGTCTTCCTCGGCTTGAACTACTTGTATCTAGCCTATTTTCAGGACTAAATTAACACGTTTTTTTGTCAAGTAAAGCTTTTGAATGCCAAAATCCTATTGCTTGCATTCAGATATATTTTTACAAGAATCCAGCAAAAATGAGATATTGATTAAGGTTACGTCTATACCTAAATGACCAATGAATGCAGTATCAATGAGAGAAGCAATGGGATCAGCAGCTAATGCTAGCGCTGCAGGGAACGCAATACTTAGGATTTCCATGCCAAGATCGTCGAGTTTGAACACATGCCTGGACACCAAAAAATTACATAAGTGATTAGAGCGATACCCCATTAATCCGATATGTTTGAGAAAACTGAATGTCTAGCAAAGTAACCAAAATAAAAAGTAGAAAAAACATTTCTAAAAAGGTACGTACCTAATATCTTCAAAGAAAACAAAGAGTGGTATCTTCCATTTTCTCTCAGTACAAGCTACATTGCCACCTTCAGCCATGACTCCCTGATTTTGATGACTTTTCGAGCAAAACTCGTTAGCTAATGCGCCTAAAAATCATCAAAAATAGAAAGATGTTATGTTTTAAAAAAAATGAGAACCGAGAATGTGATTGCACAGCAAAACTGGTGCAAGAATGGAGAATAAAAATTTCAAGTATGTATCGTATGCATGCTACTTCTTCACGAGGATAGAAATGAAAACATAAAATGATTAACAAGAACCTGAGGGGTGAAACCAATGAATTTACAGACTGATCTTTCGAAGTTTCAAAAAGAGGAAAATGAATTGAATGAAACTGGAAGTGAGTACGAAATGAGAAAATGAAGTTAATTTAAAGCAAAAGGCATGCACGAAGCTAGCCTGCTTAGTTCATGAATACACGTGGTTTCTCCTTATTCATTTTTTTTTGGGCCAAGCTGTCAAAATTTAAATTACTTAATTTTTTTTTGTTTTATTGCTCGCTGAGTTTCCTTATTCATTTATTTATCAAAGTTCGGAAACCTGAGCATCTTTTTGCTATAAAAAGCCAAAAGAGTTTGCGTGAAGAGACAAAAAGAAAAGAAAACACAGGCTAAAGTTTGTAGCCTTTCTAACTGAAGAAGCAGATAATTTCAACTAGTAAAATATTTTTAGGTTTCTTCATAAAACTCCCTAATAAGATTGTCTGGTAAACCGCATTTTCTCTAAATTTGGCCATAAAAGGTTATGTTATTTTGTTCACCAAGCAATATAATATGAGAGTATTCTAAAATCTATACTTTACTAAATTTTGAGTATATTTTTAAATTATCAAAGTTAGGATGAGTAATTTTTGTGTGTGGATATAATGTCTTAGAATGTGAATCACAAAGCTTAATAAGATTACAACCATAACGCTCCATTTGCATCCCTATCATTCTAATATTAAATATTCTTAGTAAGATTATTTTAACTTTTTATTTTGTTAAAAGCAGAGAAATAATGAAAAAATACTAGAAAATAGACGAAGAAGGTAGGCAGGAATGAACCTGCCTCAGTTCAAATTCCCCTGGTAACAACGTAACATTAATAGCATTACAAAATTAATTGCAAGAGAATAGGGTCATCATAGACCTATAGTCAAACCCAACCATATCAGTCCTTTGAAGTAGTACTTTTTTATTCATATTCTTTATTATAAAAAGAACACACAGAAGAAAACCAACATAGAGATTAGAGATTCACGCGTGTCTGTCCATGTGTGCCGACTCTGAATAAGCCTTTTGGATTCAAGATAACTAGTGACAACTCCGACCGGGGCGGAGCTAGAGTGCCTGGATCAGATTTAACTGAACCTAGTATTTTGATTCGAACTTTGTATTTGTCTTAAAAAATTCATTAAACATGTATAAATTATTAATTTATAATTCACTAACTTAAAACGATTAGACTCCCGAACCCATAAACTTGAAATCCTAACTCCGTCTCTTACGCTAACTACAAATTATTGATCGTATAAAAGTTAATCATTTTGATTCAAAAGAAAATAATTCGAAAGGAAAGATCATGGAAATTACAAACTATATTATGAATATCGTTTTTGAATCCATATCCCTGTATCCAATGTTGGAGTCCAAAAGCATTTTGACTAAAGATATATATAGCATCACACAAATGCAAAATTGTTTATGAAGACATGTTGTCATGATGAGTTTCTATTCGAAAAGCAAGAGTACTATTTATTTAATATTAAGTTCCAAACATGCTGGTTTAATCTCTACTTTTAGGCACTTCATATGTATAACTTTCGCTTTATGAGTTCTAACCTTTTAAATAAAAATACTATGTTCGTCTCTGTTAATATGTACCAAGACGTACGTGGTGTTTCTTGTCTAGTTAAAGGCTCCCTTAGGTAGCATGTACTATTTGTCCTAGGATATGTAAATGTTTGTGCGACTTAAGTTCAAACACTGGTGCTATCTTGACATGTTTACGTAGAACTGATTTCTTTTTCTCTCTTTACGATAAAAAGTGCTACAACAATTCACTTGAAGATCTCGAAATTTTTCTTGAATTTTCCTTTAACCTTTGCTTCAGGTTCCCGTCAACATATTCTATTAATCAACCTTAAATTTAGAGAAATGCATGAATCTCTTGTTTTCCGAAAGTAGCACTTTTATTGGCCAATACGCGAGATAAAGAAAAAGGAAGAAGCTAACTTCCACAGAATAAACACATGCTTAAAGTTTTAGTTACTCAGAACTGATAAAACCCAAAATGTGACGCCCATGACAGATGGCGGGTCGACTAGGACGGGTCGAACAAGACTGACAGGCTTTTAGGCTGACAAGTTTTTGAAGAAGGAGTGCACATGTCACCTTAAGCAAATCCTACATCAGAATGGGAGAGGAGAAAGTTTTATAAGGCATAACATAAGTTTACATGATGCGCATGTTTTTTGGGCTCGAACTGGTGTTGCCCAAGGAACAAACCCGTGAGGTCTGTTGGGCCAAAGCGGATAATATGCGCTACGGACTTGAATCGGGACAAGGTTAGTGCAAATGGTGATTATTTAGGAACAAAGATTTGGTTCGTGGAAACATTCCGTGCGAGTAACCAATCGAAAAGGTAATTACCATTGAGGCCAAAAATGAAGCACGAGGTCCAAATTTCTGTCAGGAGACAGAAGTGTTTGGTTTCTGAATTTGAATCTCATATCTGATGACATGTCACTGAATCATATTTTGTTTCTTTGTGTCATAACAGAAGTAGTGCAGTTAGGTTTTTGTTGGTTTCTAAATAAAAATGCAAGAGATATTTATCTTTAAAATTGTACTCATTCGACGTCCGGCAAGTATAAGTACTCTTTCTATATATCACAACTGCTTGAGTTGTGTTACAAAACTATTTAGGAAAAACAAAACAAAAACCAAATATCATTAATTACTCCATAGTGCTTTGTTGGAACAGAGGAAGCTTCTCTAACCAATGCAACACAGATATCATTAATTATTAACTATAATTAGCTCCACCGACTAATTATTTAGTAATATAATCCACTGATATATGTACCTATAACTTCACTTATATATCATGTGACTAATCACTTATATGTACCTTTAACTTCACTTATATATCATACACACAAGTTAAATGTCCAAAACAGCAAGCCACTAACTTTTGATAATCCAAAAACAGTAAGGGGTCGTTTGGTATGGTGTACAGGAAGAAATAATCATGGTGTAAGGGAGTTCGTTTAGTCATTTTCCATATTTGGTTTATATTTTCATTCTCATGTACACCAATTTTGGTATAATTTATACCATTATTACTATGGAATAACTAATCCATATATAACTTATATACATGAACAGAACAACAAAAGGATAGAAGTATCCTCACTTTTTCCCCTAGAAGCCTATGAAAGTAAAGTATCCAAGGATATTGTAAACTCATAGTCTTTTAGTTTTAAAAATAAATAAATATTTTAAATAATATCTTGTACATTCATCTAGTACAATGAACCAAACACAAAACAAACAAACAAAATAATCTATGTATTATTAATTTATATTACTCCCTAATCCAGCATTAATAATTTATGTATAACTTATTTTCGAACTAATTATCCCTAAGAGCTTACAATACTCTGATTGGAAATTAGACAGATGTCTAGGACAATATTGGTCTAAAACAGTAAGAGCTTACAAACGATCAACCATGAGACAGAAAATGCTAGTAAGTAGAGTTTAAGTTATAAGCATAACAGTATAAGAAAAATTTACATAATCAGCTTACTTATTAGGTAATTACCTACAAAATTTCTTAGTAAGTATCAACCAGTAATCTAATACTCCGTAGTTAATATTTTAAGAACAATATTATTAGGTAACTTAAATATGTAAAATAAGAACAATATTAGCTACAACTACAAGCAATAACTATTAGATTGTGGGCGGGTTCATCAATGGTTCTTTAATTATATTAACTACCTCTGTTGCTTTTGAAGAAGAACCAGCAAAATTAAGTTACTAATTAATATTTGGGGAATATTTTTACTTTAATTGGCTTTACACAGCAAGATATGAATTAGTTTGAATCCTAATATATATAGGTACTGAAAATCGGATGTAAAACCAGAAAAGAAAGAATAAAGAGTGAAACAATTCGAAATATTAGGAAATATGTCCAAATTGTTAACCAATAGGAGTAATTCCATTAAAGTGTAGGATTTACTTTGTTTACATCATTCTTTGAAGTTTGAACTTTGTGTCATATCATTTGGTGGAGACAATAGAGTGTTGTACACTAGAATTGTTATCTCGAAAAGGATGCCTCACGCTATTGTTAACCAAAAAATAAAACTGCAAAAGTGCATGGCGGACACGAAAGAATTACATAGTGGCATTCTAATATTGTTCAAAGTATACAATCAACTAACTAAAACAAAAGGAAAAAGAAGAAACAAAGAAAGTAAGAAAGACCCAACTTTCCAAAGTGCGGCAAAAAATGATAATGCAGTACGTTGTTTGAACTTAGTCTATATTAATATTAATGCTGCTATAACTTTCCTCATCATCATGCACTAGTCACTTCTATCTTTTTGTTTATAGCCACTTCTTTTTTCTCGAGTAACAAAGCCACAGAAAATAACTCATCACCTTCGTTGGGACTATATTATTTGTAGGATTTTAGAAGTGAATTTGAATCTTCTTTCTCCTCTATCTTTAAGTTTGAAATTGCCTAATGTCCCCATTGAGACATTTAAGTTCGTAAATATTGAATTTCTAACCATAGCGGGAACCTTGGAGCAACAATAAAGTCGTATTCGTGTGATCTATTGTCACGGGTTCAAGCCTTGAAATCAGCCATTAATGTTTGAATTAGGGTAGACTGCCTACATCATACTCCCTTGGATTGTGACTCTTTACCGGACCTTGTATGTATGCGATTACACTTTTTGAATTCCTGAGAAGAATCTTTGGTGTAAATGCATGAATTATGATAATGCTTCATGCGGGGGTAACAAGGTAATGCATGAGGATATAACCAAATATACCACGAAACACAAGACAAATAGAAAAGAAAAGAAAATGGCAGCAAAACTGGAAATACCTACAAATTCTTCAAAAGAATGGAGAGTTGGGGAAGAAAGATGAAGGCAAGAAATAGAGATAGGAAGGTCATATTAACAGTAGCTTATTACTCCTTGTAATCATCAACTAATTAAAGTATAACAAAGAGAAATAGAAGTTGATGGAGTAAGAATTTTGGACATACCTTTCTTTGGAAGTGAAAGTACAAATGATTGCAATTGTCAGACAAGCGAGCTGGCTCTCTTCTACTCCACCGGCTTCTCTGTTTTGCTGACACTTTATTTTCATTTGGTTTTCTATTTATAGAGGATATATATAGAGGGAGAGGGAAAGTGGCACCACATAGAGGATATGTATGGATTACATGATAATGCATCATAAGTGGCACCACGGTTTGATTCGACCAGTTATTTTATAAAATTTATATCATACCAGTTTTTCGATTATTCTATTATGTATAATCAAAATTAGACTTTTCGAAATCATCTCAATCAAATCAGTTTCTAGTCGGAATCAGTACGATTCGGTAATTTTTTTAAATGTCATGTAAAAGTCACCAGTAGAAATAGAATGCAATAACATACGTACTTTAATAGGACTTAGCAAAACTCTCTAGACATTTTTATAGTTTAAAAGGTGATGAATTAAGAAAACATGAAAGATGACTAGAGTATAGTTCCATCAACTATTCCACAACAACGTAAAAGAAACTAAGCAAACATAATAAAAATATAAATTACATGAGTGGAAAGATATTAACGAAGCTGAGACTCAAGAATAAAGTCTATAGAAGATTAAACATTCAAAAATATAAATCTAAATCATACGAAAGGAAACATATTCAATATATTATAGTTTGCTACTCATAATCGCTACAATACCCTTTGTCTTGCTAGTGAAATGCTGGAAATAATTTAATTTCAATAGGAGTAGCATAATATGTTTGAGACTTAGGATTTTGAGTTTAATTACTTATTGGCTCGTAACCGTTTTATAATTCCAAGGCCTAGGAAAAAAATTAATACTTTACTATTTTTAAACTTAATATATAAATATATTTTTCATATTATAAATTTATTCGGTACGGTTCGATTTTTTTTGATTATTTTCATAAAATAAAAAACCTACCCTAATTATCGGTGCAATTATAGATTTATATAAAAACCTATGATTTTATTAAAAGAACCTAAAAATCAGTTCTGTACGGTACGGTACGGTACGATTTAGTTAGTTTTTAAATATCTATTAACACCCCTAAGTGGCCGAATTATTTCAAAAGTGTTTATTGGAAGCGAAGTTTGTTTAATAGTTTTGAAATTTTAATTTTGGACGGTGTCAAGATTTGAAGTTTATGAGTTCTGAATTTGTTATGCAACTCATAATTCGTTTTAGTTACTCGGTTCATGATTAAATATTTAGATATATTTAATATTTTTTTAAATATTAATACAAGATAATGCAAGCAAATTAGCCGAACCCGTAGCAGTTACAAAAGCTAGGTTTTTTGCTTGATATTATTTCATTCACATGATTTATAATAAAGTGGAATAACTATTTTTGTGATAAGAGATCAGGATATAAACTAGGAAATCAGGGACTATCTCAATATTTCAAAAACTAAACTATATACAGGTAAAATAGGTCTCGACGTACATCCTGGTCTTCGACATGATAAGCCAAGCTCGAGAGATGGTAATAGGGAGCCTAATATGAGGTAGGGATCTTATGAATTTTGAGTTCGGACCATAACGATCGCCCTCGAGGATATCAGGGTCGTAATTAGGGATCAGTCCTGGCCTTGTCAACTTCGAAGAACGTTGTCAGGTAGCAAAGCTCGGCCAACAGAAGTTCGTGATATCCGTGACCGACCGAATATCACGGCGGAGATCTCGGCATATATCAACGTGAGATCAACAATCAGTTAATTAGGGGATTTTTACCTTTTATAGAATTGTACATAATAAAGGACACCCCTACTATATACATGGGCTTACTTGTAAAGCATATTGTAACACGCATTCAGAAGCAACATACTGTTATTTTCTCTTTAAGCTCTTATTTAACTGTGTCTTGACACTCATCGAAGTGCATTCTGTTCAAGGGTGGATCATCCCCCAAGGCTATAACTGATCAATTCTTGTGGCGTGACTCTACTTTATCATTATTTATTTCAATTGCAATTTGATTTATCGCTTTGTGTCAATTTAATCCACGTATCTTTAAAACCACTTACAAATTCAATTGTTATCCGATTTTGAGGGTAAACAGTTTGGCGCCCACCGTGGGGCTAAGGATAATAGTGTTTATTTGATACAAATTTCTATAACACACACTACTTCATACTTATTCTTTGAAGTGCCTCTAATTTCAGGTTAATGCTCAAAATGTCAAACTCACAATTAGCACCCCTACTTGATTAACAATGAGTCTGTTCACCACGATGAAAATAACAACATAGCGCCCGGTAACGAGGTGCCGCCCGTTGATCCCATCGGAATTCCAGCCGCGGACCCGTTGGAAGCTAACTCACATGTGGCTATCGACACAAATTTGCCTACCGACCCCGAGAATAGCATCCGTGGTGGAGCTCGATCGGAAGCACAAAACACTCAAAATAATGGAGGGGATGGGATAAATTTACGGATGATTTTCGAAATGTTACAGGCTCAACAAACAGCAATAGCTCAGCTACAGAATCAAAGCCGCGCACCGAGCAGAATTGAACCCGATCCATCCCGAAAAGTCACCCGCAGGGACGAACCAGTCACAGAGAGGTCGAGCGGAAATGAATCAGGGACTAATCCCGAGATCATAAAAATGCTCGAGGAGCTGACAAAACGGATAGAATCAGGGAAGAAGAAAATCGAAGCAAATGACAAAAAGTTAAAAACCTACAATTCCAGGGTTGACCAAATCCCCGAAGTGCTGCCGATACTAAAAGGCCTGGATTCCAAGAAGTTTGTGCAAAAACCTTTCCCCTCGAGTGCGGCTCCAAAGTCGATCCCTAAAAAATTCTGCATGTCCGAGATTCCTAAGTACAATGGAACGATCGACCCAAACAAGCCTGTTACCTCCTACACATGTGCCATCAATGGGGACGACTTAGAGGATGATGAGATCGAGTTTTTCCTGTTGAAGAAATTCGGAGAGACCTTGTCAAAGGGAGATATGATATGGTATCACAACTTACCTCCTAATTCTATTTACTTATTTGTTATACTTGCAGGCTCTTTCGTTAAAGCACACGCCGGTGCTATCAAGGTCGAGACTAGGAAGTCGGACCTTTTCAAAGTAAGACAAAAGGATAGTGAGATGCTCAGAGAGTTTGTGTCCCGATTTCAAATGGAACAGATGGACCTGCCACCGGTCGCTGATGATTGGGCCATTCAAGCTTTCACCCAGGGGACTCAATGTTCGAAGCTCGGTGGCTTCACAAGAGTTGAAGAAAAATCTAATAGAATATTCGGCTGTTACTTCGGCCGACGAGCATAACTGGTATCAATCAAAAATCAGAGTTGAAGATGACCAACTTGGGGCCCCTTCGGGGCCCGTTTATCCCGTTAGACCCCTCGACAAAGTCAAGAGAGATATCAACCATGAATCGAGGTCAAACAAGGATTGATATCAGCCTTATAGTGGAGGTCGAAGAAGTAGTGAATCCGTGCGGAATTCTATGCGAAGTGAAAGGAAAAGTGATAGAGGTCGGAACAACCGGGGACTCATGAGCAAGATTAGTTTATATAGGTCTAAGGAAGCACCAAGGTTAGCATAATATAACATTAACGTCGATGCGGCCACCATTGTATCATCTATCGGATGCATCAAAGACACCAAATTGCCTCGACCTTTACAATTCGATCCAGCCCAAAGGGATCCTAACCAGATGTGTAAATACCATGGCACTCATAGCCACAAAACAGAAGATTACTGACAATTGAGAGAGGAAGTAACCCGGCTATTCAACAACGGGCACCTTCGAAAATTCCTAAGTGACCGAGCCAAGAACCATTTCAGGAATAAGGATTCTAATAAATAGGTCGAACAAGAAGTAATCTCAGCATGTCATTAACATGATCATCGATGGGGTCGATATCCCTCAAGGGCCGATGTTGAAATGCACCAGGGTATCCATCACAAGGGAAAAATGTACTCGAGATTACATACATGAAGGGACCTTGTCTTTCAATGACGAGGACGCAGGAGGGATAGTGCAGCCCTACAATGATGCACTGGTAATATCTGTACTCATAAATAAATTTCGAGTTAAGCGTGTGTTAATTGATCCAGGTAGCTCAGCTAACATCATCCGATCAAGGGTTGTAGAACAACTCGGACTACAGAATCAAATTGTGGCCGCAGTCCGAGTTCTAGATGGATTCAACATGGCATGTGAAACCACTAAGAGGGAGATAATATTGCCAGGGAATGCCACCGGGACCATCTAGGAAACCAAGTTTTATGTGATCGAAGGAGACGTGAGGTAAAACACTCTATTTAGGAGAGCATGGAGCCACAACATGAGGGCAATGCCCTCGACTTTGCACCAAGTGTTAATCCCAACACCGGGAGGGGTTAAAATGATCTATGGAGAGCAGCTAGCTGCAAAAGAAATGTTTGCAGTCGAAGTGGCGATTCCTATATCCACACTTGTAACGACAAAAGGGCCAAGTTCGGCCACAAAGCTAGAAGCTAACTAACAATTACCGATAGCAGCCCATTCGGAGAAATAGGGAACTGATGAAGACGATGACTACAGGGTTCTCAGGTCTTTTATAGCCCCCCGATGATTCCAACGCCACTAAATCGACAGTCGAGAAGCTAAAATAGGTCATATTGATCGAGCATCTACCCAATCGAAAGGTATACCTGGGCACGAGGTTAAGTCTCGAGCTCCAGAAAAAACTCATTCAATTACTTATATCACACATAGATTGTTTTGCTTGGTCCTACCTTGATATGACAGGGATCTCGCCGGAGATAACCATTCACAAGCTAAGCCTGGACCCGAAATTTTACCTGGTCAAGCAGAAGAGGAGACCCCAGTCCGAGGTCAAACATGTTTTCATCAAGGACGAGGTATCTAAACTCCTTAAAATAGGGCTCATTCGGGAGGTTAAATACCCAGATTGGTTAGCAAACATAGTGGTAGTCCCTAAAAAACGGAATAAATTAAGAATGTGTGTAAACTATAAGGATTTGAATAAGGCATGTCCCAAGGATTTCTTCCCTTTGCCTAGTATCGATCGCATGATCGATGCCACGGCCAACCACGAAATCCT